TCAAGTGTGTATGTTTCAGGAAGTTCATCCAGAGGTGAAACTATGCAATATTAAATACAATTACAAAACCACCGTCGACTCCACAGGACACCGCCTGCACTGTAAACAGTTAAATGAATTAAGGTGTTTAAACTGAACACATTTGGTTTGATTAGAAGCGCTGCTAAGGGTTGTTAGTAGGCGTCCACAAACCCTGAAACCCAATAACATCCCCAGCAAAGCAAAATTAGATTAAACAAGATTTATACCAGCTGAAATCTACATCTGTGACCTCACAGTGCTCTGGGAAGCTACGACTTGCCTTAGAGGCATTCTTTTTGTATGAATCTGTATATTTTCTAAAGGAATGTCTGCATAGTGTGCCTTGAAGTTAAACAGTTGCAATGCCTTATCGGGAGGATTAATGGTACAGGTGTGTGTGTGTGTGTGTGTGTGTGTGTCTTACTGTTTCCGAACAGGTTGTACTCCTCACAGCCGCATGCCTGTTTTTCTGCCTGCCTGCAGCAGAGCCACACCCCTTCCAGCCAGAACTCAGGGTGGAACTTCATCAACACCAGTGGGTTGTCCTTGATCTCTGGGTGCACAAAACAGCAACGCAACAGTGTAAGAACTTCCCTCATTGGGGGGAGTCATGAGATTTTCCTGGGAAAACGATTTTCCTGACTAGTATGCTGTGAGACTTTAAAGAATATTATTTTATGAAGATTCAGAGGAAAAATAAATCTGGAAAATAAACCTCCAAAGTGCATCAACAACATTATTCATACATTCTGAAAGCTAAGCTCTTTTTTGGACCAAATGCTCTACGTCCGACATAAAAATGTCCTAATTTTATTTTTATTTCTGAGTCTGAAAGTGAAAAGCTTACTCCAGAAGGATTCAGAAGTAGAGCATTCTATCATCAGGCAAGAACAATGACTAAAGATTCATTTTTCAGAAATGCTTTTCTATTGCGTAACATCAGATTTAAGAATGAAAAAAACTGCGTGCCATTTGAGCGAAGTGGGACTTGAGATTTGTCTAAATGTTGTTTCATGAAAAAGGCAGTGGAAACAGCGGGGGCTGCTGGCCACCTGTATGTGAAAACTGGCTGCTGATATATGTGGTTTAAAGTGTGAAAACATTGCATTTCTCACGTAAAACCAGACAACGGAATCTCTTACAGTTACTTGGCGCCCCTACTTTACTTCTACTATAGGACGGTAGAAAAGCTAAAGACGAATGTACCTTCTTTGAGGCTCTGGACCCACTGGATTCTGCTGTTCAGACTGGGAGCGAACACATAGAGGGTGTTGGTGTCGTACACCACCTGAACACAAAGAGAAAGGCGCTAGATATCTTTCATCTGGATAAAACGTCCCAGTACTCTGAGTAAGCTATTCCCAGATGTGCAACATTTGTGTCACATATTTCTGAAAATCTTAAAGCGGGGTACGGGAGATGGGAAGGGGGTGGGTGGGGGCAAAATGATTGATAGAAAAAGCTCAGATGTATATGGGGGCTAAGCATCATGAAGGACAGACAACAAATCCTTCATTAGTGAGGTGCTGTAAGCGGAAACTCTGACATGCAGTTACATTTTCAAGAAGGTACCCATGAGCCCCTAAATGCAGATAAGCATTTCCTTAAACACGTTTGTCAAAGGGACTAAAGCAGCGTTTTATATCCACAGTTGAATGCTGGGTAGCGGACATGCGTCTTTGTACCTGGAAAGGGTATTTGTATTGGCAGGGGATACTCCCACCCCCATTCCTGACAATCTCCACACATCTGATGCGCCTCAACTCGATCGAGCCCCTCTTGAACTTCTTCTGTTGATGGAAAAAGCGTGTCACAAATATCACTTTTCTTCTTACTCACTGAGTCACATGACTTTTGCGTTCCAAACTGTATTTGATCAGAATCTTATCTGATGAGTAATTGTGTTTTTTTTGGGGTGTTTTTCTTCCCCCTTAGAAAGAAGCCTAAATCAAACTGTCATTTCCTCCAGCATCGTGTTTGATTAAGTTACCACTGTAAAGATGTGAGTGTACAGCAGGGCTCTTTGTAAGACGGAATGAGCATGAACTGGAACCTCAGCGTGTGGTACTGTTTTGAAAGAAAACATATCCTTGAACCATATTTTTTCCTTTTTATGTTTTTTTTCTAAATTCTGCAGTGTCATGCATTGTTTTCACGCCACGAGAACAAATGTGTTCTTTCAGAATGTGTGAAAATAGTAAGTTGCTGCTCTAGACTCTAAATGTTGAACGGGGCCCACAGAGGTGTTAATTAAATCAACTCTTCCAGTCAAAGTAATTAAGTTAAATGCCAAAGTTCTTTCCCTGAAAAGGGAACAATTATTTTTTCAAATTTTCCTTTGTTCACCTATTGATGATGAAATGAAATTATGAAAAAAGGGAGAAAAAAACTAAACTAGGACAATAGAAAACCAGAATAAAAACGTAAAGTTAAAAAAACAACAATAATAATGACCTCGGCCTTGCCGTCATAGTAAGTCAGCCTGCTCTTGGTCAGGACAAACAGCCTCTCCTTGTAGTTCAGGGGCGAAGTCCTTTTCTTCTGCTGCGAACGCTTGATCAGCGTTTCCTCCAAAAGCACCTCGGCACTCATTCTGGCTCCGTCTACGTCCTCTTCCCATTGGATGGCGGCGTTACAATGCAGAGGGACGGATCTGATCTCAGGACAGATGCACAAAGTTTGATTACGCTTCTTCATCAACATAAAAGATACAGTATGTCACTCTGCACATTGTGTGAAGAGATAACATTTCCAAATAATAAGGTAAATATAACAAAAACGCCAAGGTGAGTCAAAGAAATACAGACTTTCAGTGTCTGTATTTTCTTTGCTGCTGTGCTTAGATAACATAGATAAAGAGCCTTTAGGAGTCCTCTGAAAGACGATCAATCTCAAGTCTATATTATAACCAGAAATTCCAGGTCTCCTTTGCACATATTACTTACCCCCAAAAAACAATAGTTATTGATTTAAATTGAAAAAGATGACTATGTCAGCCCAATTTACTAAGAGCAATTACACTCCTGAAATATGCATCATCAGGGTGGTCACAGACAGGATATCATTCCCACACAGCAGCTGGAGAAAATAAAAAGCCTGAGTAAAAAAAAAAAAAGGTTAATAATAGTTAACCAAAATCTTTTAAATCACAGCTCAGGAGGGTTTCCACTTCTGAAAGTCAGGGCATTAAAATGTCTGACTGAGGCACTGCATTTTAGTTTCTGTATCAACTACCTTCGTATCCTCCTGTGTTCTAAAGAGCTACAGAAAAACACAAGGCTGCTGGTCGCCATTTATTTTAGGTCGTAGAAAATAAGGTGCCCCTGTATAAGGTGATGTATCCGCTTCCTACTGGTTAGAAATAGATTCAAAGCATTTTTCCTCCAACTACTCAGCCGAAGTTGCTCTTATTGGTGACTGGTGAACGTTCCAACTCAAAAATGAGACTAAGAAATCAAACGCATAATGTGGAATGGAACAGGTTTGCATGAATATGATTACAATAGGCAGCAAGCAAACCGTACACTTTACTGTTAGGAAAGGAGATGCTGTTTCCAAAAACTTTAAAACATTATATTCGCTGAGCATTTCACATTAAACAAAAAGGGGGTGTGCCACCTCTTACGAAAACCAGAGCTTTATACACATATAAAATAGAATAAAAGATATATATACATATTTTAAAAAAGGAAAGAGTGAGTTTAAATCCATGAACCAGACATTCTCCATGAAAGAGCTCTAAAAAATGACTGTACATAATAAAGAAGAAAAACAATTGAAAAACAAGGTAAAACAACAGGGAATGCCCTCAGTAGAATAGTAGTAGAAGGCTAGAGACCAATAGAGAACAAGACTCCAATTATCTGTTCAAGCAAAGTTTGTTCTTAGAGGTGTTCTCAATCCATCTTTTCTAATTTTTGCCAAATACATCAATGCTATATCAAAATGTTACCCATTCCATCTTGAAAATATCCTAAATGGTCTCATACCTCTCATTATTTGGAGGTATCGATGGCTTAAGCCATTTTCTGGCTACAGCTTTTCTAGCAGCTGCGCTGATAATCTGAAACAAGTATTCATCCTTTTGTGTGCCATTCTTTTTCAATAATCAACACAGGTATGGAGTCTCGAGTGTAAATGGGAAATCCTTAGGAAGCACTCATCCTAAAACTACAATTGGTAGTTCAAGCTGTTGCTCTGCTCTAATAAAATTCAAATTGACAAACCTTGGCATCATCTGTAACTTAAAGACAACACCAATGCAGGAAATTCAGTTATACTTACATGAACCTCAGAAGCAGCAGGATTTCCTGCGTGTTTTTTTAATTCTTCTTTTTGTCACACAGTCCCTTAACTTTGAAGTGCTGGACATATTTCTGTCAATAACTTGATTCCCCTCCCCATGCACATATAAGCTTTCGCCAGGCTGGGCTAAACTCCGCCGTGTTGCTAAGCTGAATGTCGAGTGTCGACATCATTCAGTCAGGACAAAGCTTCAGAAAGACATCTGCGCTCTTGAGAGCCCCGGCCATGCAAGCCTTTTATGAGCCGGTGCTTTTGTTCCAGAATGAGAACAGGTTAGAGGCAGAAGGCCAATGGAATGAGACACAGAGAGAGAAAGAGACAGAAACCAACCAAACACAAGCATCGCTTTTCTAAAAAGGGGCACACAAAATAGGAAACCATGCCAACCACTGAAAGAACTAAAAGCAGCAAAACTAGTGCATACCCAAGCCTTATAACAGTATGCCCTTCTAAAGCAAGGTTAAATGATATTTAAAGTGACTAAAATATAGTCTTGAGGTGGAATAACCATTTTAGAAGCACATATAGATAGTTTTTTCTGCATAAAAAGGACTCATCAACATATACATCACCAAAATGATAAAGTTGGAACAAGCTTCAATAATTTTGCCTTAAGGTAATAATGTGTTATTTGAGCAACATTTTCTTTTCATTATTCATATTGAAAGTAACTAGTTGATGAAGCTTCAAATGAAATAAAGTTAAGTAAAAAATAGGTCTTGCCTGCCAAAATGGATTTAACTAGAGTTAGAGAATCCCACATTACGGCTGCGACTTTAGACAATTTCACTGTCTAGTCATTATAATGTGCACAAGCTTAAGGACAAAGATACATTTCTGTTCATGGGTTTTCTTCTAATCACAAACCTATCTTCTTTCATCTCTGCTAGAGGACATGTGCAGGTGTTTGCTCAAGACTTTATTAGATTTTCTTTGCACCTTTTTAACCCACCAAATTCGTAATTTGCTTATCAGATTAAACATCAAACTCAGTCAACTGTGTGTTTTTTAACCTCGCCCACTGTCAGCTGTGCGTATGGGGGAAAAGAAAGCACTCTTCCTTAAGAGAAACAAGTCCAAAGAAGCCCAAATAAAATTTCACAAACTGTAATGACTGTAATAAATAAACATATACATATTTCTGTAAAACACGAGTTTCAAAGGTAAAGATATATTAACTGAAACCAAACATGGTTGGTGGCCTGTGGTGTGAGCCAGGCATGAGCCACAAACTAAAAGGTTTAGTTTGTGGCTCATGCCTGCTCTCACGCTGCGCCAACACCACCAGTTAGGGCCATTTATGACGGTCTTTTTGCCAATATGTTATTGTCTCTGAGCTCGTTCATCGTTATTTTGTCCAAAGAGTGACAAAAAAGCTGATGGCCAATGAACTGGGCGACGTTTTAAAGGCTTGCCAAGGTTTCCGGCAACACTTGAACGCAGCAGAGGCGCGCTCCCGGCATTCAGAGAAAGCTGCACGTTCACCTGTTAATAAGTGTCTTGATTAACCTTAAGAATGAAACGCATTCCTAATAAATCCCACTCAGCCAACACAAATTCGTAGGCATCCCATTAATAAACTATTTTTCTTTTGGTGTCCCCTGTCCACGCGCGTTTGGATGTTAGTTTAAAGGATTTCTGATTATGAAGTTTGACTGCAGTGATACTCGCATTGACCACCTAACACGACGAGTCCAGAGCGTCATTCTGTTTTCCTAAGTTCTGTTTTCTGAGTTCGCGGATATTCCTCTCATCATTTGCGCACGATCCGTTCAATTACCTCGGAGAAGAGAATATCCTAAGCTTTTCTTACCTTGGCGGTCCATCGTCTAGTTTCCTCTCAGCTCAGTATCTCATGACACCGAGAATGAGAGTCAGGATAGAAATGAAGCCAAAGGAGGCGGACACATGAGAAAAAGAAAGAAAAAAAAGCTGCCACAGAAACTTCCTCGTACTGCTCTGCCGCACAGACCGTGACGGTGTACGAAGAGAGAGGTCAGCAGGGAGGGAGATCTTTTGAGTAGACAAATCAGTCCTTAAAATAGAGTGGAAAATCTTCAATATTTGGTTTTGCAATATGAAATGTTGATGTGTAGGCGGGTGCTTTGGTGTCTGCCCGGACAGATTTCCATAAGATCACCAGGAGCATCCCCTGGAAAGCCTGGAGGTCAGCTTTGAAAAGGGAAGATTTTATAAATCAGAGTTTTTGAAACAGGGGCATTCAAGTGAACTCACTTTTGGGAATGAAATGATCTTTAGTTATGATTATTATGCTAAAACAGCTGGGTAAAAATGCAGAAAAATTGTCAAAACTGAGAACAATTTAGAAAAAACATTAAGTAGCTGTATATAACAGAAGATCTGTTAAAGAAAGATATATAACTGATTTTGATTTTAAAAAATGAAAGACAATGCCAATACCAAATCACATACCTGAATGGATCAGCAATTCCATTTGGTGGACCTAAGTTAAAACCCAAATTCAGATAGACACATTTAAGAGGGGATTTTAAAAAAAAAATTGAAACTGAAACCAATTTTTAGAGGCTTGCATTGAGGCCTGTCTATACTGTCTGGCCCGAGTCCTCCCCATGAGTAAATGACCAGTGTGGTGTGTTTAGGTGGAGGAAGTGAAAGCAAAGTATAGCTCACTTGCCGGGTTTGTGTCCGACCATCGACAGCTGGCCTCAGACACCTGTGCCTTCACCTGCCTCAGGCTGTGCTCGTGTCCGGTCAATTTGGCAGCTGGTTTCAGCCCTTTTCTTGAATCTTTTCACTCCACATAGCGGCATCTACAACTGTCATTTGAGTATTTATGCAAATAAACAGCTATGGCTAAATACGAGATGTACAGACGGCCGTGTGTGTGTTTCTGTGTACTTGAATACATGTAAGTTGTCATCTAGTGCCCATTGAGTGACGTATGGAAAAATTCTAGGGGTCCTGGTGGTTCCCAGTCATGTTTTTTTTTGGTGTAAGCTGGATTCACTTCTGGTTAGCGCACTGGTAGTCAGTTCTGAAGTTTTGTGGCCAGTAAAAAGAGATTCATATCTGTTATGGATACATGGACCACAGATATTTGTTGATATGTTGTATCTGAATGCTAACAGACCAAAAGAATTTCCATAAAGCTATTTAGGGTGTAGTTTTTAGTTTTTTTTTTTACATACTCCTTCTGCAATTTGGCTTGGTTGTTGATAATCTGACCTTGTATTGAACTAACTGACTGCAGGTCCATTCAGGGAATCACCCAACACAAGAGGTGGCAGTAAACCAAAAGCCCAGTTTTAGCTACACAATCAGATTTTTCGACTAGAGCTTGCTGCTACTTGATGAGTGTTACTGTATGTGTGTGTTCTTCCTGCCTTGCTTTGCAGACGGATGCTCTGTGGTTTCATTCACGTCATTCTTTTGCTTCCTCTTAATGTCGTCTTTATCTTGTCTTTATCTATCTCCCACACTACCAACTGTGTGCAAATAACTCATTTTAGTGTAAAGTAGACATTTAAAAGCACAAAAAAAAAGACTGATGTGGCCAACGGCTGGAAACAACAGCAGCAACAGCACTTCCTCCTCGTTTTCTTTGCGTGCTCCTTTGCCTTGTCTTGTTCGGCGTCTCCACTTCCTCCACCCACCTGCCCCTCTCTCTCTTCCTATACATCCGTGTCGTTCCCCACCTGGGGCATCACATCAGCTTCAACAAAGCAGAGGAACTGAAGCTGACCTCAAAAAGTCGACCTTAAGAAGAAAGAGTGGCGCTGAGGAAGAGGAACAGTAGGAGGAGAACAGAGGAGAAAGAAGACACAGAGAGACAGACATGATTCACTCCAGTAAGTACCTGTTCACATACTAACATCTGCAGGCGGATTACTGAATCTGTCCTCTGGGCAGAGGATGTACGAAATACATTCCGCTTTAAAGGGGGAAAAAAACTATCCTCGTGTTGAACAGTGCATCATTGTTAAACTTTCTGTCCTATTTACTTTCATTCGCGTGGCTTATGCTTTAACTAAAGGAATTTACAAGTCTGTAACAAAGTTCAAAACTCGGTACATTATTTCTTGACCCTGAATCCTTGGGCTGAAATCTCTTTTGTGTTTGTCTCTTAACCCTTGTGTGTGTTTTCTGGGGGTCATTCACACCCGTGATTCAGTGAGTCCGGGGTATGAATGACCCCAGCAGGACACACAAGGGTTAAACTGCTCGGATCAGGCAAAGGAAACACAAAAAGGGGGCACTTTGGCCTCACTTTTATTTGCACCCATTAACAGAAGTGCAGCAAGATTTCGGCGTGGTACTTTCTGCTCATGCAACGCAACGCTTCTGATTGGATAGACGACGGGAACGAGTAAGCAAAGTAACACCTCGGGTCTTCAGTGCCGTCGAGCAGCTCAAGCTTAAGTTTTGTTTCTCATGCAGGTGTGAGGGTTCGAGTGAATACGTTGGCGAGTTTTAGATGCAGTTGTTTTGGTCTGAAACACTTCTGCGGGCCCTCCTTCTTTAAGCTAAACCTGTATCCATGCACATTACTGGCTGGGTAGAGAGTGCTTCCACTTCAGAATGCATTACTGCAGCCACATCTCGGTCAAACGTACAACACTGCATTCACCATCCTGGACGAGCTTGTGCAGTACATCTTTGCCGATGCACTAGCATTCCCCATGACGATTAAAGGACAAAATAGTGCAGCTTTTTTTGGATTTGGGATGTTATTCCAGAAAGTAATTGGGCTTCAAGTGCTGTGCTGTATGCTGACTAGATATCTGCATACATGCATGTACATTGGCTGGCTGATTGACACTAGCTTAGTTTTTATAGAGATGACAGAGTAACAAGCCATTCTTTCTAATACGACCCATAAAAAGTGTATTTTATGCATGCAGCTTCTCTTTTGGATAGAGTTTATTGCTTATTTGCATAATTATTTGCATATTATGCTCTCTATTAAGAGATCACAACAAAACTTTGCTCCTACAGTCGCCGAGTTTCCTTTATTTCAGTTAGAAACTGTACAGTCTGAAAACCGATTAGAGAGTTGTCAACGTTGTTTCTGCAACCTTATTTTAATGAAATAACGATAATTTTGCATTCTTAGTAATAATCCTGCTGTGACATCATACGGGCTCCTGGTCTGTCCAGTTGAGCTTCCAGGGATCCTACATTTCCTACGATGACCAAGTGGAATTTGGTTCTGTTTGGCTCCAGCTCTGCATCCCGGCTGCCTCCTGCTCTCCTCAACCCGACCTGAACCAAATCTCCTTTTCTAGGCAACTCTTTGGGCTTTGAAAGGTTCAGTTAGCTTCTCAAACAGATGTAAAAAGAAAAACATTGCATCCGAATCTGCACTTTAGAATATTTCTGCATCGTCCCGTAAAGCAGATTCAAATAAATCCCTAACATCAGTAAACAGCCCTTTGGGAACCAGTTTCTCGGTTCAAAATAGTGTTTTATGTATGTCAGTCTGCGTTTTCTGTTGCACTTTTCATTGAAATACCCAACAAAAAGAACCAACAAAAAGAACCTTAAAAATCATGATCGATTAAAGCAATTATTTGGGGTTTGTTGCATTTGCTGTATTTTTTAGATGAAGCGCGTCAGCTTACAGAGATCCTTATCATTAAAAGGTGTCTTTGTCGAAATTTACATCATAAAAAACATGCTAACAGCGTACTGGTTCACCACAAACCATCAGAGGAGGTGGACTCCACTAATATGCTGCTGCTTCAGATAGGCTCGATGTCCATAAAGACCCACACATCCAAATACAACTCAAACAAGTCATTTCCTTTCACATTACAGGTGTTTGTGTTTATCTCTCGAACACACAGGAAGTGAAGTAGCCGACCGTCTCTGCAACCACACAAAGGCTGAGAAAATGGCCCTAACACACATGCACAAAGATTTGCAGAGACACGGGGAGTGTTAACTTCAGAGGAAAGGAAACTATACTTCCTGTCAAAGACCTCCTACTTAAAACCGCAGAGGCACTAGGTGACAAAAAGTTAAACTAAAACAGCTTGTGGGACAGGTACTGCATGTAAAAGGTTAAGGTTCAGCATTGGAGGCCAGCGATAAACTTTATGTCATAAATGTAGACAGAAGGGAGAGCAGAGAGGGACAGCAGCAATGCAAGACGCATTGGTGAACAACTTGAATTATTATAATCCAATATAGTCCTTTATAATCGCTGACCTACCTTGGTGCTGATAGACTCAGATCTGGCTTTTTGCAGCCACAGAATAAAGAGTCATTTCAATAAAAAGGAGATGAATTAACCTCATCAAATTCACTTTTTCATATATATTCAAGATCCAGATGATCTGTTTGCCCTTGTCTCCATTCTCTAAGTGAGCTTATTTTATTCAGTCCTGAGTTTATACATTACACCCAGAATGTTGAACTACTTCCTTCAACACCTAAAGAGGTTAAAACGAAATTAGGATAGACTCACTAGTCTACTCAAGGTGGTTAAGATTTAACTATTTTTTCTCCCAACTAATGCTAAATATCTTTCCCATTCAACTCCTCCCTCAGATGACTCCATCCGCTCCATATTCTGCTGCTGCTGTTCTGTTCAGACCAGGTAATGACAATATTCTGAATTTATTGGATCAAAATATCATTGTTTTAAAAGGATATGCTACTAAACAAAATTTCCTCATTTTGTGGCCAAATGCTTGGATTGGATTTAATTAAAAAAGAAACTTTTACTTACACATGGATGGAAACAGCATATACCTTTTATAGTCTCCCTGCCATTATTCTACTGAAATTAACTAAACCTGGTTTAAAAACTTTCAGCGAGAGGCTGTGAACAGGGCATTTTATTTTCACTACTTACCCAGGAAATTAATCATTAGACTTACGCAGGTTGATCATTTGTTCATAATTTGTGAATCTTTAGCTTCGTTTGAACTTCTATCTCACGTCCTGAGGGTGGGAATCCTGCAGATCACCCTGTTCACATGCACTCTAAAAAGTTTCTGTTTCCTTTTTAATGGAGCTCAGCCTTCCTTTGTGTAACGTGTTTTTTCTTCTGTTTGTGCATTCCTGGTGGTATTCTGTCAGCACCATCAGGGGATCCAATAACTATTTATTCCACTGTACAGTGTATGTGAACAAACGGATTAACACAAACTGAATTAAACTTTTTGACCTCTCTGTTCATACTGATAAAGTTGCAGGGCTACAAGACAGAATAATTCCGAAGAAAAGATGGAGAAAGTGGAAAGGACAGATTTTTATACATCATAACACATAAACTGATCTGTTTCCATGGCCGGTTTCAGGGAGATCAGCACACACTTGGAATTCGAGGGCAGAACTTCCTCGTGTTTTCCGACCAGGCGACACGCGGGCCGCGCCCGCCCTGTAAGTAAGAGCGTGTTTCGGAGATATTCACCGGGTATTCTGCTCCAGATTGAACATTTCCCCCTTTTTCCTTTTCTCCCAGGAAGACAGGCCCTGGAAGAAACTCCCCCTTCCTCCACCTCAGAGCGGGGAAGGTGAAGGGCTGCTAAACGTCGTGGCCATGTACGACTTCACTGCAAAGGAGGACACCGACCTCACGCTCAAACAGGTGCGAGCAGACAAAGAGGCGGGGGACAGACTCTTAAACGCCGGCGGAAGAGCGCTGACGCAGTGTGCTGTATCCACAGGGGGAGGAGTACGTCATCCTCCACAAGCAGGACCAGCTGTGGTGGAGCGCACGGGATAAACACGGGTACATCCAAACGCATTCCAGACACGCCTCGGCTCTACCTTCACAAAGTGGCCATTATGTCAGAGGCCCTTTACAGCTCTCATTCTTTCTGGTTCCATCCAACGCAGCTTTAAGATTTCACATTTTTTATTAGCTTCCACTCAGTTGGTCTACATTAAACACGGGCCCTTACTGGATGTGTATCCCTGTGCAGTAACACTGAGAGGCTAATAAAGAGCACCTTCAAGATGGCGAGCCACTGAATTGGATACACCCTCAGAAAAGTCAAAAGGACTGATTACTTTTTCATAATTTTAGTGGAGCGTATGAAGGCCAAATACAGAAAGATCAGCCTGATAACATTTCATGGAACTGTTATGACGGGAATCACACATTGGACATTAGCCAGTTTTCAAATAAAGAAAAAATCAAATCCCTCCCTCATTATTTCCTCAGCAAATTAATAATCACTCTTCATTCATTTGTTTATGTTTTTCTTTGGTTTCTTACAGGAAAAAAGGCTTCATACCCAGTAACTACGTGACAGAAAAAAACAAGATTGAAGCAAATTCGTGAGTCTCACCTGCCCCTGCCTACCTTTTCCCTTAAATTCACCATAGAATTATAAAAACTAACATTGTGGATGTTTGCTTGTTCTTGTTGGAGATGGTACTGTAAGAACGTCACCAGAACAGAAGCAGAGCAGCTGCTGAAGCAGGAGGTATGAACCCATCTCTCTGTCCTAATATCCACATTTAAATGTATTTATTTCTGAAAAGTCTGGAGAACCATGATTAATTTGCAGGGCCAGTGACAAAAAGTTTAAACATAGCAAATTAAAGAATGAATAATGCTTTTTTTCTTTTGCTTCTTTACAGGACAAAGAGGGTGGCTTTGTGGTGCGGGAGTCTAGTCAAAAGGGAGTCTACACTGTGTCCGTCTACACCAAAACATTAAGGTAATAAGGTGTTAGAGGCAAACAAATGCAGTGAAAGTCCACTTCTATTAGAGCATAATAACATGACTAACTTTTCTATTTCTTTGTGCAGTCCTAACGGAGATGTACGGCATTACCAGATCAAAGTAACTGACACTGGACAATTCTACCTCGCTGAAAAACATACCTTCAGTTCCATACCCGATGTCATACACTACCACGAGCACAATGCGGCAGGTGGGAAAAGTCTGCCACAAGCCCACAGCTGGGATGCGCTTCCTGAGTTTGTTAACGTGGTGTGTGTTTGTGTAGGTCTTGTGACCAGGTTGCGGTACGCAATAGGACCAATGGGAAGGTGTGTACCTGCCACAGCTGGCTTTAGCTCAGGTAAGTTTACCTTCACGTCAAGCTATGCCATTATTACTAATATTCATTATCATTAAATAAACCATTGAAAACTAGACAAATTGAAACACTTCTTTAATTATGTCCTTAATGGCAACATTTTACACAAATGTGAAACTAGTAAAGGATTCCATGAGTAAAAATGGTCCTTTATGATTTATTGTGAGGAAAAACAAAAATTGCTTTGATCGAGATTGTAACTATTATTTTTCATGTTACAGCTATGAATATATGTTAATAATCCAAACCTTATAAAAAAGCAGGTTCCAGTATCAAAATGTGGCAGTTTGACTAGAAATCAATATGTAGCACTCGCCAAATTAAAAAAAAACTATCAAATGGTGTGAAATGAATCAAACATGATTTAACACAACAATAAATAAGTATCAAACAAATATGGCTTCAACAAAGCGTTCCTCTTTGTTTCTGATTTTACCACCCTTACCCCTCTCAACTTCCTTCCCTCAGAAAAGTGGGAGATCAATCCCAGCGAGCTGACCCTGATGAAGGAGCTGGGCTGTGGCCAGTTTGGAGTGGTGAAGCTCGGCAAGTGGAGGTCTCAGCAAAAGGTCGCAATCAAGGCCATAAGGGAGGGAGCCATGTGTGAGGAGGACTTCATCGAAGAGGCCAAAGTCATGATGTTGGTACAAAGGGAGGCTGAGGTGCGAAATGTAAAGACCGAATGGACCCATTTTCACTTTTTCCCTTGTTTTTTTTCTATCTCTGCTGTCTTGGTCAGGAAGCTATGCCATCCAAAACTGGTGCAGCTCTACGGGGTTTCCCTACAGCAGCGGCCCTTGTTGATTGTGGCCGAATTCATGGAGAACGGCTGCCTGTTGAATTTCCTCCGGCACAGGGGCAGGACACTGAAAGACGCGTGGCTTCTGTCTATGTGCCAAGATGTCTGTGAGGGGATGGAATACCTGGAGTCAAACAGTTTCATCCACAGAGATTTAGTGAGTCCCCACAAAAAAGCTTAAATCAAGTTACTATGCATCAAGACACTCTTTAATCATTACCAACGAGGCTTTATAATGATTTTTAGGGGATAATTTCACCCCCTGAATTAAATTTCGCAGTTTAGTTTCACATAAAAATGACCTGAGCATCAAGCAAAGTTTAGCTCACCATAGTTTCAGCAGCTTTGATATGTGAACGTCACCTATTTTAGTCACCTATTTTAGTATTGCCAAAACAGTCTAAATTAAAGCGAACTCTCAGTTCAATTAGTATCGTAGCCCAATTTTTTGTTGACATTGAATTAAATGTTTGTCTTGTCAATGTTTTTCTGTCAAACAGGCAGCAAGGAACTGTCTGGTTAATGAACACAATGTGGTGAAAGTCTGTGACTTTGGAATGACCAGGTAAGCAGGTCACATAATGTTCCACCGGATAACATGCATGGAACCAGAACCAGCAGCTTGATAACCCTTCTCATTGGAAACTTCAAGTTGTTTCCTAAAAACATTTAAAACTCATTGACGTTAATGGTCTCAAGTGGTATTTTCATTCTTCGCTTGCGATAACAGATACGTTCTGGACAACCAGTACACCAGCTCCAGTGGTGCTAAGTTCCCCGTAAAATGGTCTCCCCCTGAAGTTCTCCACTACAGTAAATACAGCAGCAAGTCGGACGTCTGGTCCTTTGGTAAAGACCCAAGAATCCATGGCACTGCTGGTATTATTTTCAGTGAGTTAGAACTTGCATATAACTTTGTGCAGGTGTGGTGATGTGGGAGATATATTCGGAGGGTCGCACACCCTTCGAAAACCGCTCCAACTTGGAAGTAGTCAATGACATTACCAGAGGGATCCGGCTGTACAAACCACACCGCGCCTCTCAGCGAGTTTTCACCATCATGTACAGATGCTGGCACGAGGTACCTAACCCCTCATTAACTCAAAGCATTTTGTAGAGAACTGTAACCATTATCGAGTAAAAACTGATACAAATCAGACCTATTTATCCGATCAGTGTTAATAAATATTAATTTCAATCAAACTTTTTCCAAGCACAACTCTCTAGGATGTTTTGGCATTTTGTTAACCACTTGATCTTTATCTTTTCTCTAAATCTCCTCTTCTTTGGCTGTGCAGATGCCTCAGGGTCGGCCGCCCTTCTCAGAGCTCCTGGATGAAATTAGAAAACTTGCAGAAAATCCAGATTAACATTAGTCAACTGTTTTTTTTTAATGTTGAGTGAACACATGTCATATTTGATGTTGTAAATATATATATATATATATATATATATATATATATATATATATATATAATATACATATGTATAAATATAAATATAAAAATGTTTTTATTTTTACTATTTTGTCATTAAATGGAAACTTTCAACCATGTTAATTTTTTAACTCATTTTCACACCAAAAACAACTTATTTTTAACACCGATTTGAAAATAAAAGTATTTGTCACTTAAAACTTTGTATAAATGTGCGGATTGAAGGCACACATGGTTGCAGATATGTGGATGTAGTGAATTTGTGAACAGTAGAGTGAAAATTCAACGGCTCAAAGACATATTACGGCCTACAACCCCTGGCAAAAATTATGGAATCAACTGCCTCGGAGGATGTTCATTCAGTTATTTAATTTTGTAGAAAAAAAAGCAGATCACAGACATGACACAAAACGAAGAAGAAGAAGACGAAGAAGAAGAAACTTCTCTGCTACTAACTGACGGCAGGGGGAGTTTCTATGGCGACGCGTCGGGTGACAGACCCGTACACACACACGCGAGTCGGCTTGTGTCCGGTGACTTGGATACGTTTACACACGGAGAACACACACGGACACAGACAGCGTTACTCCAGTGTTTACGTGAATGGAGGTCAGCACGTAGATTAAAGCGATAAAAGGGGTCACCTGCGAGGTCTGTGCGCTGCTGCGTGAGGGCGCGCGCGAGCCTGACTCATCCACAGGTGCGTGTGATTAGCTCTATAATAATTCTGATAAGTCGTCAAACTTTATTTTAAAAAGTAGGCTACACATTAAAAGGGAAATGTGTGCCGCTTTGTATTTCATAAGGCGTATTGTTTTTCATCGCTTTGGGACTTTTGCATACAAAACATGTGGAATGCGTAAACAATATCAGGCTGAATGTTAAACGCCTCGGTGAAGTAAACCTTCTCTGTTATTACTTTTAAATGATCCTTCAGAGTAAACGTGATGGAGCGTTACGAGTCCCTGGGTCCAGTCGGAGAGGGCAGTTACGGTACCGTGCTGAAGTGCCGCCACCGAGACTCTGGCCGCCTTGTTGCCATCAAGAAATTCATGGACTCAGACGAAGACAAGACGGTTAAAAAGATTGCCCTCAGGGAGATCAAGCTGCTTAGGGTACCTGTTAATTAATCCATTCAACAGTCAGTCAATCAACAGTTGGCCAATGAGTAACTTAAGCATGGAAGGTCTGTGTGAGACTGAAACCCGAGTGAGGCAAAACGCAAACAAAACCTTGCAATCACGTGGCAATCGGGAGAGAATTCAGTCCATTTCTTTCTCCATTTTTTTGTAGTGGGGTTCCTCATTTAAATACAAAAAGCACGTTTGAATTGGAAAAAGTGAAGGCCAAGTAGTTAAAATAAACGGAGAAAAACAGCTTTTTTAGAAAGTGCTATGTATTATTGGGGTATTTTAGTACTTATTTAGGTTTAAGTAAGCCAATTGGGTTTAATGAAAAATGTGTTTATATGATGTTATTTCCAAACTAACGACAAATACATTCAGAAACAGCGTTAAGCAGTGTCAAGGTTATTCAAAGGATAGATGCGAGGAAATCATTAGGGCCATTGTCAGTGTTCTAACGTCACTGCTGCAGGGAGTCCAAGCTTTGGCTGAACTACTTACATTCACAATTTGTCTTTTAAACCACAAAGCAACTGCGTCACGACAACCTGGTGAACCTTCTGGAGGTGTGGAAGCGTCGTCGTCGCTGGTTTCTGGTGTTTGAGTTTGTGGAGCGGACGCTCCTGGATGATCTGGAGCAAAACTCCAGTGGATTGGACCTGAACACCACTCGGCAGTACCTGTACCAGATCCTGAGAGCCACCAATTTCTGCCACCAGCAAAATGTGAGCGAAAATTGGCAGAATATTCTCTATAACTCCATCTAAGAACAGTCTAGCGTATCTTGCACTGTTTTAGAGGCTCCTGCTAATGTGACCTCAGAGCTAAATTTACAAACCATGAAAGAGCCACATTGTCCGAAAAGTATTTTTACATATTTACCTGTGAAACATTTACATCAAATTACCATTTAAAGATTCAAGGTCAGCGATCTTTAAAAAAATGATCAACAAAAAGTTACAGCTACATTATTCCTTGAAAGCAGTGACTTCCTTTTTTAAGATCCCCGGCCATTAAGGAAAGACAGCTCAAAGACCCTAAATTGGTTGTGTTTGGATTCTCTGTCTGACTCATCCCAGGTCATCCACCGTGACATCAAACCAGAGAACATCCTCATCTCCCAGGGAGGTGTGGTCAAACTGTGTGATTTCGGCTTTGCCCGCACCATGGCATCGCCCTCTGAAGGCAGCGTATACACTGACTACGTAGCCACTCGTTGGTACAGAGCCCCGGAACTGCTTGTGGGAGACATCAAGTACGGCAAGTAAGTATCTGCCGACCCAAGCATGTTATTTGCAAACTGCTGTAATCAAACCCATTAATGAGTACGCGTTTGTGTGTGTAGACCTGTAGATGTGTGGGCCGTGGGTTGTCTGTTAATGGAGATGTTAACTGGCCAGGCTCTGTTTCCTGGAGACTCCGAACTTGACCAAATATTCCACATCGTGAAGTGCTTTGGTAAGGTCTAGAAATAGCATATTTAAGTTGTCTTTTCTTTTCGCAGTGCTCTAACTCTACTGTTGACTCCGGCTGCTACAGGTAACCTGGTGACCCACCACCAAGAGCTGTTCTACAGAAACCCTGTCTTCTCTGGGGTCAAACTGCCTGAATGTTCAGGCACTGTGCCACTGCAGCAGCGCTTCCCTACAGTCACATCCACCGCCCTTGACCTGGCTCAGGTACTGTTCAGTAAAAACCACTATGAATATGTACAGATGTAAGAACTAATACAAATAAAGCATGCAACTGAAATGTACTGAAACATAAACTGAGATACTGAACAGTCTAATCTTGAAATGTAATGTTCGATATGATGGGTCTTTGTTTATACCTGTGTCTATCTTTAACATGTTCAGTATCTTCAAATATTTTACAAACACACTTCAAACCATACTGAGGCAAGCCAAAACTTTGGCAAATAATTTTACCAGAGTCACAGAGTTGAAGCAGAAATACTTGTTTTTCCAAATAGGGTTATTCATGGTCTTTAGTTTAGATGAGACTTATGAATTGTAATGAATCGAAATGGCAGACGATCCTAGAGATGCACTGTCCTGTTGTGACCCTTCATCTAATGGCTTCAAGTTGCTTCAAGTTAAGTCTCTAATTTCCACTTGACCCTAACAACAAGACCTTTGTGTTTTGTCTTAGAGGTGTTTAGAGATGGATCCAGAAAGACGAAGTCAGTGTTCAGAGCTGTTGGAGCACCATCTATTCACACATGACTCTTTTAACATCAGGTGAATCTCCATTTAATTAAAATCACAAATGGGTTGTTTGTGTGGTTCTATGACCAGAGTTTTATCTGTCACCTTTCTAAAATCTTTCTCTGTATCAATACAGATTTCTGGAGGAGCTAAATGCTAAGATACAAAAAGAGCACAGGGCTAACTCTACCCTTCCCAAAATAAGCAAAACTAAAACCCCGAAACAAGAAAAGGATGAAAGGGATGAGAAAAACTGCAGGGGCAAGGACAGAAAAATACCAGAGAGCGGGGAAGAAAAAATCCTCAAGGAAAAGACGGAGAAAATGAAAGGAAAACAACCATCAAAGGGGTCTAAAACGACCCACAATGTACCGGAGTCATATATGCATAAGCAGTCCAAAACTGGGGGCAGCAAGGGTGTACATACTGCAGCACAGTCCTCTATCGCCATGAAAAGTAAACCAGTTAAGGCCACTGGCGCAGAGCCGAAGAAAGAGACAGAGATTTCGAAGTCAAGTAAAGTCCTGATCTCTGAGTTATCAGATGAAACCAAGGCTGGAGCAAGCCTGAAGAAGAAAGTCACCACGGCCGCCAAACCTGAACAGAAATGTAGTTCATCTCCAGAACCAAAGAGAGACCATCAGAAAATGATAAAGGACAACATGGCCGGTAATGACTGTAGTGATGCTGAGAAAATCTCCCACACGATCAGGACGTCAACTAAATCTGAACAAAGTCAAGAGTATGCAAAGGGTTGGAGGACCGCAAATTCAAAAGTAGCCAAGTTGTCGAAACATTCAACTGCTGACGGTCAAAATTTGAATTCATTTCCTAAAACTGCCGTGGATTCAGCTGTTGGTCGAGCTGACATGACATTGGCGCCATCCAAGATTACCCCCAATACCTCGGCTTTGCAGAGCACTCCTTTAAAAACTCTCTCCTCAGAACCTTCAGAAGAGCGACCCAAAGCATTTAGTGGCACATGTCCAGCTCACAGCACCGCCCTACCTAAAGGAATGTCAAATTCAGTAGCATGCAAATCTGGCTTCAGCTCAAAGACTTCAGCAACAGGTAAGGAGCTTATTGAGGGCAACCACATGCCGAAGGACAATGCATGCCTGGTAACGACCACTGCAAACTCAAGTGGAGACAATGAAGCGACAAGGTCGCTGAGTGAGAAAACAATGGTTCCGAGAGCGCCTAAGATATCCGAAAAAGAAGACCCAAAGGATTTAGTTTTTCCTTTATCTATTATGTCACCAACTAAACTGTCAACAAACCCGACTGTGAAGACTGTCGGAAGCTCGGGTGGTAAAAAAGGCAGCGAGTGCCGTGACCCGGAATCGAATGCTAAATCACTGAAAGTTCCCAAAGCCAAACAGAAATTCGCAAAGCCTGAATCCTTTAGCAACCGGGTGAGGACTTTCAAGACTTCAAAAACCACATGTGGTGCTGATACAAGGAAGAAAAGTGACAGCCCCGAGAGACATGAAACAACAACCATATCCAATGCAGCAGATAAGACTTTGATCACACCCGCCGACCACAAAGCTGTTACAAGAAGCTCCGCCTTTAACAACATGGACGCCATCGACGTGAACGAGCTTCCTCCACCACCGCCCTGCTCCACTCCTCTCCTCTTGCAACTGTCCTCCACATCTCTTGTCTCCTCCCCCTCTGTCATCAGTACCAACAACTTTACATGGGGAACAACTTTCCATCCTGGTACCAGCAATCATAGGTGGGTCTTACAACACCAAACACAAGGCTGAGAAAGTTGGCAACCATCACAACACCATTTTTGTGACCACGTCTTGCTTGCTATTTTGCTAGTTTAAAGCCAGGTACCCAGGCAATAAACCAATGCCCCGCTTTTGATATTCAACATCTTGGTTAACATTTGTTTACGAGGAGCTTTACAGGTGAAGGCTGCCAGCTGCGGAAGTTCTACATGCCTGAATCTCCTCTTGAGAAGTGGGACTGATTGTAGTGCACGTTGGGTTCCTCACATTGTATGAACAGGAAGTGCCATGTGATAAATTCATGGGACTCGGGTGTCTGAAGTTTACAGTGTCCACTGTCAACACTCGGAGGGCCTTAGAGGGGGACTGCCACTGGATATCTGCTAGATCCAGTTGCTCTGGAAAAACCCGGATGGGGTTTTGAAAGTGCTCCAAATATTGTAAAAAAAACAAAACAAAAAAACACTCTAAGTGTTGATGAAAATACAAAAGTGCCAACAATTGCTTTGGAGGGGTTCATCCTCTTAACCACCTACGGCCATGGTGGATTATGTGATAAAACACAAATGCTCCACTCTGCTGTCTGTGTTTTACAGGTATGTGGATAAACCAAAGCATCCCGGTGGTGTTTGTGGACGTCAGGCCCAGCATTTTGTGCCCAGCCACATCACAGGTTCTTTCACCATTCAGGTAACAGAGGATGTTAGCTGATTTATCTTTTTTACCCCACAATATAGAGGAAATGGCTCCTCTAAAGTGACTTACTTTCTGTCATGTTTCAAGGCAGAGAGCAATCTCGTCTGCGAACGCTCCTTCATGTCCGACCAATGTGACCTTGGTCCCAGCAGCGGTATCGTGTCTAAAAACAAATCGCACGTCCATTTCCCAGACTTGAGAAGCTCATTGCTCCCGGAGCTCAGAGGAAGTGAAGGTACGTCTATCTTTGGTGTTTTTTTTTAAACCCCTACATTGAACATTTATTTGATAAGTGAGTCTATTTCAAATTTCCACCGGATGTTATATAGTGAAAAGTAATCATTCCAGAGCTGAATTTCCAAAGTCGAGAAAGATAAGAGAAGCAAGATTGCAGAATCCTGAAACACGAAAATGTCTGAAAGACAGATGATGAATGTGGAGCAATCGGAGGCCAGTCATTTAGTGTAGTTAATAAAAAAGTTAACTTTGGACTAAAAAGGATTTAAAAGCTAAATGGCTTAATGTATGCATAGGTTTTTTTATTTTTGTCCAAACCTAAAAACTTTAGATCTCAATTTAGAAGAGAAACCACCAGGTTCATTGTTACTTAAACCAATGTCTAAAAGTCAGAAATCTAGATTGAGTTATTATTTATAAACTGTGTCCTCAGGCAAACACTGCAAAAGCGATTCCAAGGATCAGGGGAAGGACAAACATCCAGGTCAACCATTTCCAGGATCAGAGGCACAGCAGGATTACGACACTGACATTTACTCATACACATCTAAACAAATGGAATAAAGGTACTTTTTTCTTCCAAAATGCTTTGATCTACAGTCTGTAGCACTGACACACTCTTGTATGTTGTAAACCTATTTAGATACACTTTTCTAATGTAAAAACATAGAAATCTAATAATTTATTTCCAGTAACCAAACGACTATATGATAATGAAAAGTGGTAAAAGGTATTTAACCAACCGAAATGCAACACAATTGTCGATACATTTTGAATTACCGGTTTGCTTCTATATTAGCTCCAATTTTTTTTCACGCGACACAGAATAAGACGTTTTTTGAGTAGCAAAGATTTCTTTGATTTGTTAACCAATGTAAAAATGATTATCGAATTTCAGAAATTTTATTTAGCGGTACAAAAACATTGCAACACAACTGTTGGGTGTGACAACAAAATCTACCAGCTTGATGAAATTAAAGTAAACAGTTCCGAGGAGAATCTATTCTCGAGAAAATCATTAAAAAATTATTGTATTTCAGTCAGTCAGTTTTAAAACTGAATTCATGATGTTAAGACTCATCGCTTGATTCCTCCGAAGAAAATGCGCCTTTTCTCCAGATTTCTGCTGACTCATCGCTACTCGACCCAGCGCGATAACCTCCTATTGGCTGAGCCACACGTGCCCTGCTCTGGGCCCAGAGGTTGTAGAGGAGGCTGAGAGCAGGGTTGGATTGGCCGGCAGGGATCGGCCTTCCCGCAGCTGGCTTTGGTCTGATCGGTGATTTGGTTGCCGGTTTCCGTGGCAGCAGTTGTTGTTTAGCTGGCGTTTTGGTCGCTGGCACCACCTGCTGTAAAATTATCTTGATGAAATCTGCTAATTTCCCCAGTGTTGTTCTGACACAGACATGACATATGCTGCTGACTAATAAGATCACCATGAGGACTTAAGCTCTGGTCTGAAACTGGAGAATTTATTTAAGCTTTAAGGCCTCGAGAGGCTTGATGACATTTGTGGGAATGTGGGAATTTTTTCCTAAAAACTGACAATGTGAAATGGGAAGATCCTAAAAGCTCTAAAAAAGAAATAGTACGCCGCTTTAATGCTTAAAAAAGTATTTTGGGACGCTGCTTAACCCCCCCTTATCAAAGACCTACCTCTGTAGTGACGGGTGAGGCCGTGGTCCCTGCTGTGGCTGTAAATGCGGTGGGGTCAGACGTGCTGGCAAAAACAATCCGGCAGGTGTCAACGACAGCAGAACCATCGATCTCTGGAAGCTCAAATCCCGGTGGAGGAGAAAAGGATTGAGCTAATGGAGTGCAATCAGAGAAGTGTTGACGTTTTAATCTAGAAATTCGAAACACTTTGTTTAAGTTTGTAACTGATAGACATTTTGCACATTAATGGGGGTAGAACTGGATCGTTATGATTTCAGCATCCGTGTTAAGACTTAGAATTTGGGGTTCAAGTCTGCTTGATACTACTTAAAGCAAGTGAAAATACAAATTGCTGCCCAAACAAACTAATCCCCACATTCTCTATCATCTGATCTTTGAAAGTAGGGTCAAAATAACCACAACTCTCATGTCAAATTTGAGTATTATGACTGTAGAGGCTTTTGTGATTTGTTACTGTTATCTGACTCAGATTTGTAGAATATCAGCTGATAGCTATACAAACTTCCCTCATACATTAGCCTGCCCTGATTTAGTCTGTGCCCTCCTGATAACTCGAGCAATGAACTTCTTTCTTCACCTGTGCCAAGGTCAACTGCTTTGTTTGTCTTAAGGTGTCTGCGCTGCTATCCGATCTGCCGGTCTCCATTGCATATTTCATGAAGACAGCGCTAAGGTGTGTGTTTTCTCTATTGACTTAGCCTTTTGTTTGCAGCAAAGCTGCCGTGAGGGCAATGTGTCGAACAAACGAAACCAAAAACAAAGTTGTCAGATTACAGCAACAGCAATCGAGCCTGTTTGTATCCCTCTGTGCGAATAGATAGAGTTCAAACAAACCACATGGAATGCGAGTGATACGTTAGAGATTTGAAGTGTCTGCACTCACCGTGGATCATGCAGACGCCGTGAACTCCAAAGAGGTGGAGGATGAACGTGACCTGAAGGGAAGTCCAGCTGAAAGCCATGGCTGTCGGAGAAGCAGCGCTATGAGAAGAGGTGGAAATCAGAGAGGACCAGGAGAAAGTAAAAGGAGAAGAAGGACTGCAGAGTGACAGAGGAAGGTGATGAAGAATAAAGCAGGCAGGGAGGGAGGGGACGAGGGGAAAAGATGGATAGTGTCTAGACTTCAAAGTTTACTCAGAGCAGGGTTGGCAGGGTTTGTGGTTCTGAGTTGCTAAAGTGTAAAACCCTCTAAATCCTGTCTTCTTTTACTAGCTGTACTGTAAAGTAATGCTTGAAGGAGCAACACCTGGACTTTAAGATGCACCTTATTCACAGGAAGATTCACGTCTTTTTTTTTTTTTTTTTCAAGCCTTTACTTATGAAAACATCCAACATATACATTTTTCTGTTGCATGATATAGTTAAATGTTTTTGATACAATATCTAACTAACTTACATGTTGATGTGGTTTCTTGAATGTAACTGAAATGTTCAGTTTTCTGCAGGTCCATCCGATTCCCTTTATTAATAGGAACAAATTAGAATTGAAATGTTGAAACATTTATTTCGCTCCACCTGGATCAGATACACAGGGAAATGTTTCAGATTGAATAAAACCGGAGTAAAAAGTCAGGTTTTACTTTAAGCTGTAAGGAAAATTCAAACATCCATATCCAGTCCCAGAAAATCCTTTACCACAAGCTATAAGGATGGATGTTTGATTGTCACGTAGTTAGCTTTATCCTCCAGCAGAGGGAGCTGTATTTTCAATCTGACCTTGTACATGCTCTCTTGACCTTTCAGTAAAAATGAGCACATATTCTATATACACGTTGATATATATGTATATATATACACAACCTAGAGTAGTCAGAGACATGTATTTTGTATATTTATTGTGTTTTACTTTGGTAACGAAGACAAATATGGATTTTAGTGTGTAGTGTGCACTTTTCTGACCATCCTGGTCACAAGGCCTCTTGCGCTATTTAGTTTTTATTTTGTTTGTTCTAAAATGGGATTCATGATGTAAATATTCCAAAAACATTACTGGTGATGAATGACAAAGTCTAACTGCTTAAGGAGCTTGACAGTGGTTAGGATGAAGCAACACCTGGAATTTCCCGCAGGTTTTTTTTTTGTCTTTTCCTTCTCACTGCCTTTGCTAAACCTCACAACAGTGGCTGGTGTAATTATATTCCAGCCCAGTTTACTGGAACATTAAATCTCAAGGCTTTGTTTGATCTACAGGAAGGTGATTTCCACAACACTGCGCTTTCCTTCTCTGGAAGGAGAACCCGTCACCTTAATGTGACTCAGATGCCCTGCAGACTGTGTTGAGAAATGACAGAATTATGGGGTTGTTTTAAACTGACTGTTTTTGTTTTGGGCCATTTCACAGCTGGGATAGATCTGGGTTTTTATTTCAAATCGAGGGTGTGGATTATGAAATCACACTAATCTTTGATTTTTCTAGTTAGTTTGCCAGTGAATGTGTCTCTTTTAGATTTATGCTGGTTGAAGTGCACTTCAACCAGAAATGTACTCTATATATCGGAAGGTGGTCACAGTCCTTGCATGAGATCCTGAGGAAAACAAAATCCATACAGCTGTCAACACCAGCGCACCATGAAGAAAAAGAGCTGCAGAGGGAAGTCTTGCTTTCCTCCTTTGTAAGTCTGTAACACAGATTTGTTAGATCAGTGAATTAATTTCAGGGGATGAAGCAGCTTTTCTTTGTTGTCTCAGCTTTTGGGTCGGCGCTTTGCCCCATAAATGTTGAACCGCTTATGGAAACAGTTACTCATTCAACATCACAAAGCAATTGTCTGTATCCCATTACTGGCGTTGGTAAAGTGCCTCTCCTAACATTTGAGCCGCACGCCGTTTAAAGCGCGGGTTGCCAAGGCAGAGAGTGTCTGTTTACATTCCACACCCAGTGTACAGTCAGCCTCTGATCTCGCCACATGCGTGTGTACGTGCTTCACATTTCTGATCTCCTCCTATCACCTTCTGCAATTCCAAACAACAGGCCGACTGTTTTTAGACCGTCATCTGCAGACTTTGAACAGGACGGAGTCCAAGAAAACCAGACGAATTCTAGCCGAACTGTGCAGACATTCAGTCTGCATGGGGGAAATTCTAGTAAGAATTAAAGTTTTCCACTGGTGCCACCATGAGGAGACAACTCAATTTTATTTAAAGGAAAAGCACTTAAACCACTCAGATTCTGTTTGCTTCAATTTAAGTTCAACACGATAAAACAACAGTAAGCTAATAAAAGTGTTTGGGAAATTAGAAAAATGTCCCTTTACAGCTTTATTTGCAGTGTGTTTGTGTAAGTTCGATACATCCGAATATGGAAGAAATGTTTATACTATAAATATACCAGTGCTGAGTTAACTTTGAAAAAAATGGTAAAACTGGATTCTAATCGGGACTAGAGCATCAAACTAAGGTTTCATCAAGGAGGCTAATTAAAATCTATGATTAAATTGAAAAAGAATCAAAGAATGAAAACCCCAGATGTGATGTCATCTTACAATGTGAGGATTTATTCCCCCCATGATAATTATTGTTCAGAGAAATTATTTCAAATGAAAAAAATTGGCTTTATTTTGTACAAATTTATAAATACAAATATGATAATGGTATATTTGTGTAGCTTTGAACTTTAAAGTGCAAAAATCAGAATACAGAACGAGTAAATACAGTGTGATGCAGGCATTAACACGGAGTGAATAAATGATCGATAGCTTCTTTTTTACATGCTCCATAAAACAAAATATATAAATTTACACGCAACTTCTCTGATAGATCACAGCTCACTGCAACGTGTGAATCAACTGGACGTAACTCTGGACCTACCTGAGGGAAAAATGGCTAATTATAACTGAGAAACGACTATTAAGTAGCACTTTTGCTTTCCAACTGGTTGTGGGAAAAGTTTAGGTGAACTTCCGAATGAAGCGCAGCTTGAGGTACGTGATGACGAGGAAGCAGATGGTCATGATGCCGAGAGCCAGGTGGTTCTGCCAGAGGCCCCAGGGGGAATACTCGACGCCCTGCTCCTCCAGGTATGCCTCCCCTGTGCAGCTGGACACGCGCAGAGGAAACAAGGTTATCTGCAGGACTTCAAACTGAATGGGGCGAGTGACTAACTCAAAGATTCCCTTTAAGAGGAGGCATGTGATGCAGGTTTTAAAAAAAAAAAAACAAGCTGAACTGCAGTCCAGCCGAACCCTACTCTAGAGAAATGAGAGCAACGTTAAAAACATGTTTAAAGGCGTACTGTCCAGTTGTGTTTCTATATATAAAAAAAAAAGGCCAGTATGATTTCTAAGAGTAAATGCAACCTCATAGGGGAAATGTAACATATTGCAGGTACATTGGGGTGTTACTTACGAGGATCCCGGGGGAATGATAGAGCTATTCAACCCATGGCAGAAGTTCAGCCCGGTAAACTCATTAGCCTGCAGAGCCTGAAAAGAGTCAGAATAGCGAGCCTTAAAATTTTTAAAAATCTTTTTTCTTTATGGAAAACATGTTGTCCAGCTGACCATAAACAGGGTTTCCGTTATCAAATCATAAGTCGGACTAAATATCCTTATGGTTTTTATGAGTTCTCACATCCCTATTTAGTGAGGCAGATTATAATATAGGTACATTTACTTACAGTAAGGCCATATCGTGGTATACTGAGGTATTTTAACCAAGCCAGCCAGCTCACGATGGAGGGAAGGTTCACCAGCAACCCTGCAAAAATCTACAGAAAAGAGAGAAAATTAGTAGGCAAGATACCTAAAGGTACTTTTGGCTTCCCTATAGGGATGCTGCATCATTTTTAGGTTGCTCTACCTCCCATTGCCGTCATGTAAAAGCTTATTTGCGAGCCTGTGTGTAAGTTTGAGTGCCTCACCATCATAAAGACGCAGGTGATGGTCATGAAAATGTTGGCAATCGCCACCACCGTCTGGTCGGCAGAGATTGCAAATGCCATGGAGGTGGCGGTGTAGGCGACCAGAGCGACGGTTAGCATGAAGATGAAGAAGGCCTCGACGGTGGGTTTAAGACCTGCACGCAAATACACACACCAGTAGCGATTTAACCTTGACTGACCACTTTGTGATAGCAGCTGAACGGAAAATGAGTTGAAGCAGTGGAAATACAAATTATTTCTCTCTCTCTGTTTTGTTTGCGTTTACCCACCGATCATGAAGTAAGCAACACAGCTGAAGACGATGGCAGGGATGGTCCTCAGCGTGATGATGTCAGACAGGATCTTACACAGGAAATACACGGAAACACGGTAGTATCCGCTTATGTACTCGTGGCTGCAAAGAAACAATTATAGGAGAGTGTAAACAGCATCTGATTCAACCGACATGTCTAGATGTGTGCCAATCTGTACATCATTATCCTTATTTCCACCCTCCTTTCCCCCTACCCTCTGAATCTGCCACAAATGCAATGAAAATTTTTCATTTTTGAGGAGAAATTATGCCTAATTCCAAAGTAGTTAAATGAAGCATAAAAACAGGTCAAGGAAACCCGACTTTTACATTATAACAATTACCACATGTTGAATATCTTATCATATCGACCAAAAACTACATATTAAAAGGATATGAAGCCGCATGACACTTGGTGTGCATGCAAATGTCTATATAAAATGTTAAGTGATGACTTTGATAGTAATACTTAACTATCTAACTATTTGACAACTACTGTATGTATTATTACAACAATTTAAGAACTGTTTTATAGTGATAATATTGAATAAATCTAAGATAGTCTGGATTCCACTGCTGTCCAGCAGAGGGCAGAATAGAGACACGTGAGCACTGACATGACATGTCAGTAGATAACATGACTACAGTGCGTTGGGACCACTTCTTCCTTAACTCATCCTATTTAAGATGTGTACCCCTTTTAAGCACACTGCCTGACAGCAGCTTTAGCTCATTGCAAAAGCAGCTCTGTCAGCTAAGCATGCTCAAATTTGAATTAAATAGTTGTTACAGGAGTTTAGAGGTCTATTTTGGTCCCTTGGACAGAGCTGAGCTACTGCATGTTTAACCACACCAACCACGCCATAAAGACTTATGAACAAAACAAAACAAAACAAAACAAAAACAAAAAAACTTAGCTTTGTGAGGGCCCAGTGTTTTTAATTAAATAGAAAGCAAGGGTTTAAACAGATGAGTTTGAGCACACACTGATATTGATTTTCTCTAATCTCATTCTCAGAAAGAATGTGAGGCTCTTTCTTCCCTCCCTGTAAAAATGTTTGAAACAACTTATTAAAAAAGAAAGACTTAACCTTCTGGGTACTACAGATGTTCCTCCACATCGTCAAAAGAAACTTGCCGGCTGTTTATTACCAACTGCTTAATCAAACGATGGATATTCTTGTGCCAAATGTAAATGATTAACTTTGTAGGGACCTGATATTTGTCCCCAGATAGCAATCTGATCCCCTCAATGTCTACTGAACGCGTTTCAACACAGACTGATCTAATCCATAAAAAGCAAAGGAAAAGTTAATGTTTACACCCTCAAACAATTTTAGGGATTTTTCACGTGACCTTTAATAGTTGACTTAGACCTGACTTGTGACTGCTGGTGGACACGGAGTCCCCAGAAAGCCACTGCTAAAGACGTGTGTGTGCGTATGTCAGTGCGTCAGACCCACATGAAGAGTTTCCTCTCGGTGATGAAGAGCTCAGCAGCCGACAGCGAGCTGAAACACTGGTTCACAACGATGAAGAAGAGAGCGCCAACCCTGAAAACAACCGTCCAGTTTAATGTAATTACGTAATTCACTTTGTGCGGGACGCACGTGGTGCATCCATTTTTGCACACTGGTAAACACAGGCTGTGTTTTAGTTTGGTGTGCCGATGCTGGTCCTCCAGCTCTGTCCAGAAGTAGACTTCTACCAACAGCACTGATGCTGAGAGGAGTGGAAGAATGATTAATCCACGTCCCATTTCGAGAGATTTAAGTGTGTATAAGCCCTATAAATGTGTTCATTTTTGTCCAGTCTACTCACTAATTTGACATCTTTGATTTAGTTGGATTTCCTTTTATAAGTAGTCTATCACCTCTATGGGATATTTTATTGCAAACTACATATATTGATGATAAATTTACATTTCTAATTTACTGCAACCTTTTCCACACACACACTGTAACTGTTTTTGCATCTATCTGTAAGTTTTGTAGTTACGTTAATATATCAGGAAAGCTTAGGTGAGATTTTACTAATATAGAAGCAATAACTTTAATAAGGCAATAACTTCAAATTTTTCCTCGAGGCTTTCTCATGAAATGTTTTAACTTTGAGAAAAAAATGCCAACGTGAAAATTATGATACAGTCAATTTAAAAGTCAAATAGAATTACCACAGGTTCAGTGCATTTCAAATGGTCCATAAAATAACAAATACCTGTTCTGTACCCCACTCTGATCCTCTTTGACATCAAAGAAAAGGGCTCCGACGACCAGAGCGAGGAAGAGCGTCACTGCAATCTAAACAAAGGAAATAAACTGTTTAACGTACTTTAAGGTAATATCAAGAATTTCTCAGCATTGTCACCAACCAAACGCTAAAGAAATGTTCACAGGGATTTCGTCATCTCATCACTCACGACTACAAAATAATAAGTAGACAGCCACTGTTTCTCTAAAAAGTCCAAACTGAGCATTTGGGAGTAAAAAACAGAGGTCTCTCTGCTTTTCTACCTGAGCGATGGAAGTCTGAGGGTTGAGCAGCAGGTTGCGGAAGGTTCTCTTCAGAACCCATTTGAACTGGGTCAGGAAACTGGTGTTGTAGGTGATGGTTCTGGAGCGGGCGGTGGAGGTTTTCGGCTTTCCCTGAGCTATTCTCTCTGAGACACAGAAAACCGAACGACAGAAATCACAACAAACATTCCTCAGGTTATATGTACGGTCCTATTTTCTGGAAAAAAAACTAAACTTTTTATTTTCTTTTTGCTATTTATTAAAACCGTTATTGTAATTATTGTTTCATACTGATATTTCACACAGAAATTCTCAGAACTACCAAAAGCACAACAATCATTTTGTGTCTTTTTCATGGTTTCTGTCACTGGTTTGTGTTTTTTAGTGTAGAATTGTTGTGCTTCTTTGAAGTAGTTATCTTCCCTCGGTTTCTTTTATCAACGTTTGTCTTACAAATAGTCAGTAAATAAATTTCAGAATTTTAAATGCAAATGCAGATGTATTGATAACAGTTTTCTTTACAGAGTATCTCAATAAGGTCATTAAGCGCCACCTCAGCATTTTTTAGGAAATGACTAGTTTCTTTTTGTTGTCCTCACCCAGCTCTGCTTTTGTTTGCTTGAAGTACTGGCAGTTTCTGTACTCCTCCACAAGCTTGTCCTCGATTCCCCTTCTGGACAATGACACAGAGTCGGCATCTGGAGATGGGCGTGGAAAGAGTCGGAAAACAAAGTCGCATGAAAGGCTCTTGCGGGTGGACTTTAGTGGAAGGAGGGCCAAAAAAAAAAGGTTGAGTTTTGCATTTCCCCCAGATTTGTAGCATTTTGTGTTAGTGTGACGAATAGGAAACTAGGCTCAGTGTTCATTGAGGCTGAATAAGACTTAAATAAGACTACAGTAATGACGATTATACTTAAACCTCCTCAGAGAAAGCAGGTCTCAGTTAGGCTGCAATAACAAACCCCCCCACCTTCCTCATCCGCGTTGTTGAGGGCCACCGCCGTCGAGTCTCCGTTGATGACGTCCAAGAAGAAGTCAGCGGGGTTGTTGTGGGCCTCGCAGGTGTATCCTTGAAAACAGTGTTCAAACTGAGCTAATCAAAGCACAATGCTGCTCCATGCTGAGAAGAGCATACATCAGACTTCTGGTGGGAAGTAGCACTCCTTACCGATCTCTGAGAAGTACTCCAGCGCTGTCTGAGCCGGGCCGTGGTAGACCTGAAACGATATTCAGCATGACGGACAATACTCTCTCTGTATGCAACTTAGCTTTGAGAATTGCTAGAAGAATCTAGTTGAAACAAAAAGAAAGGCAGCAGTTGTGGTGACCTGATTTCCGTTGACCAGCAGAGTCAGGCTGTCGAACAGGCGGTAGATGGTGTATCGAGGCTGGTGGATGGACAGGATGATGGTGCGACCATGGTTCGCCATTCTTACAGAGAGGATAAAGACACATGGATTTATGTTATACTCCCCACGGTACCACCATCCGTGTCGAGAGTGGCGCATGTTTTATTTCTATTGCTATGTCGCCTATATGACTGTAATTCTGCAGGCATTAGTAGGTGTTTTTTTTTAATGTTTTTAGTGTTATTATTTATAGTGCGGAAGTTAAAAAAAAAGGACATTTTTTTGTTTTATTCTGAATTTTAAAGCAGACCAACATAAAAAAAGGGTTGAGGTTGCAGTTTTTTCTTTTTTAGAATACTATGTTTTTTAATGGGAAACTTACAGCTATGTAAAAAACAAGCATTGTTGCTAATTATAACTTCTCTAACCCTTGAAAAAAAACATTACCTGACAGCATTCACTGAAAGAAGTATAAAACTGTTGACCCTTAAAAAAAACATAACGTAAAATCTCAGAAAACTTGCACATAGAAAATTACTCATTTATTTATTTAGCCGTGGTGAGTGTGAGCTATGCAAAATAAAATGGAACCCTTTATTTGTCACTACTATGGTCATTTGAGCAACTGTAATCCACCGTATGATGTAGATCACAGTTCACAGCTCTTATTTGTACGTTAAAGGCAAAAGGTTTGGAGAATATTGACCCCTTTTCAATGGCAGAAGCCATTTAAGATAAACACGTTGAATGGGAACAGCTCGGCTAACTTTGGGACACGTGTTACACGGGTTCCACATCAGGTTGAGAGTTCTGTGTTGGAGTCGGGTTCAAAGGTTAACGAAGCTCCTCAGGGAGGCTCGGTTGGCTCACCTCTTGAGCAGCAGCAGCACCGAGTTGGCCGTGCTGGCGTCCAGGCCCGTTGTGGGTTCATCCAGGAAAAGCACAGACGGGTCGATAATCAGCTCCATGCCAATGTTGGTCCTCTTCCTCTCCCCGCCAGAGATCCCACGAATCAGCTGAGTTCCCACCTGCAAAGGAAATCAAACATTCTCATTGCCTCTCTATAGTACATACAGGCCTAAATTTACTTTTATTTTTCATCATGAATCTTGTCATTTTTATCTCAAATATCCAAGTTCTTTTACTTGATCCCCCAAACAAGTCTCTCTTAATGACTCACTTTTGTCATGGTATTATTACCAAATGTTTTTTGGACTTTTAAGGGGCCATTTCTGCTCATTTTTCCTCTCTGTTCTGACTTTTTCTTTTGGGCTCTCTGATATTTTGAGTTTCTCTGCATTTCTTTCTTGCGCCCTGCTCACCTTGGAGTCGGCCACTTTCCCCAGGCCCAGCTCCTGGATCAGCCTGTTGACTTTCTGCTCTTTCTCCTGCTGGCTGATGCTCGACGGGAGACGGAGCGCCGCCGAGAAGCTGAAGTTTTCCCTGACGGTGAGAGTTCCCATCACCACGTCGTCCTGCGGATGGGAAGCTGCGGCTTAAAACGGGCAAACATTTATACAACGCTGGAAAAACCTTTATTTGGACATCGTTCCACATTGAATTTCATTTCCTTCACTGTGATTCTTGACCTCAGAGTTTTTTTTTTTAAAAGACTAAAACAGATTTGGCCGAAGCTGGTCTTATTGTTGCAGGCAATCTCTTCCTTCCAGGAAACGTTCCTGAATCAGAGACATTCAGAGCTGCAGGTCGGACTTCCCGCCTGGCTTCCTGCTTGCCCAGCATACCTGCACCACGTATCCAGACAGACACTTGAAGTTTGGGGGCTGAGGGGCTCCGTCGATCAGGACTTCTCCTGACAGGCCGGAGGGGTCCTTTCTGGCTGCCAAGACGTCCAGAAACCTAAAGGGGAAAGACATCCATAAGGTCTGGTTTGGAGACAACTATGACAGAAAAAGCAACAAAGTGCAGTTCCTGCTCTTATTTTTTTTGTGTTTTTCTCTAATAGGATCCAGTCTGGTGGAGGAATGGGACCTCCTTCACAGGGAATTAAGGAACTCCAAGTTTCTATGTTCACCTAAATCCACCTTTGTCTTCCGCTTGATATTTCAACTGAAATACATTAAACAACGATGTAAAAAATAGGTAGAGAAAGAAGAATTGACCCTCAATTGTCAAAAACGTGAACTGCTATTACTAATAGATAAACGCTAAACTAATTTAGCTGATTTTTAAGAAGACATTGCTGAACGTTTCCAAATCTGAATGTAAACCTCGACTTCCCCCCATACCCAGGACAGACATATTTGCAAACTCACGAGGACTTGCCGCTTCCTGTCGCCCCCATGATGGCGTTCAGACCCGGCTTCATGATCCCACTGAAAGGGAAAGAAAACATTTAAACAAATGCTCACATTTTATTTCTTATCACATTAAGGGCCAGTATTTGATCTAGAGCCCACTGAAACACAAACTTTTAGAATATGAATGAAGAAAGAAAATAGGGGGTGTAAATGGTTTTATTTGTATTAGAAATCTTTTGTCAGGAGAAAAATGGGTTTCATAATCCTGTGTACAACTGACTGAGCCAGCCTGTAACTGTAAATAATTACAGGGGCTGGCCGGCAAATTGGCAAAAGCCACTAGTGGCTATAAAGTTCCTGCACGTGAGCACACAGTAACCTTTGACCAGTTATGAGAGTCATAGCACTCACATGTTGGGGACTTGGATTGTTTTCATAACAGAACATAATTAAATTCCAGGCAGCCTTGCTAGCAAGCCCTAATCTCACTTTGGATCCGCCACACCGGCTGACTCCTTACACGTCTGTCCCTCCCATCAAAGGTGCCAAAGAGGAGGCGCAGATTCTCCAACCAGCATTCACAATTAGACTATTAAATATCACATGCGAAAGTGTGGGAAAACCAAAGAGATTGCAGCGTATCGCCGTTTAATCTTATCTTATTATCTTATCTGTGTGTTTTAAAAGGAAGCATGCAACATAATGAGAGAGGGATGGCCGGGTGGAGCAGAGAGGAGGACCCCCCGTGCATCAACCGGACGGTGGAAAGAGTACCATCACTAATGGTGTTAAAGGGTTTCAGCAGATGAAAAAGCAGGCGCATGTGCCAAACGAAAATATTAGAAAACCCTTTTTTCACGCCCCCATTAGGATGTTGAGGATGTTAGAGACTTCTGCATCCAAACGTGAGCTCTCCTCCAGGTGCATTTGAAGGGAATGTAAATATCCTGCAAAACTTTCCTGCTGAGACTGATTTCCGGGTTGCAAACTAAACAACGGAGCAGCAAGGAGAGTTCCGAGGGCAACGGGAGGGAAAAAATAAATAAAAGAAGAATGGAAAATGAATACATGCCACATGCTATTGGCATCTCATAAAGACGGGAAATTAATCAAAAGCGTCCAATTTTAAATCTGCCACTGCAGAGTTCTGTTTATGATTCTACACTTTCAAACAAAAGGCCTTTAGAATTCATGATAATAATGCTCGTTATAATTTAATTATATAACAAAGGTCATTTAGAAAGTAACTTTTAGAATCTGATCGAAATGTAACTATCTTACTTGAACAATTCCGGAAAGAACATTCTGAGAAAAACATTGTTTCCGAGATCGAATTCTAGTGATAGCTTTTTGATCCTTTTTTCTGCTGTTGGAATAATCAAACTTTTGCATTTTAAACATGTCTAGTTTGCAGTATTTTTTTCCCCACGTGTTTGAACATGTTCTCTAAACAGTGACCCGTTTTTTCCGCATAATCAGGTGGTGAAAAGCGCGATTGGTAAAGAGTTGTTGTCTTTTAGAGGAACCAAAACTCCCTTTTAACCCCCCACCAGGAAACTGAAAGTGCAGCGACTGTTTCGTTGAAGCGGTTTTGATTTGAAACACTGACAGTGACTTGACATGACGGTGGGAGTGTTTCTCCTGGAATTTGACTCTGTCCTCCTGTATGATGGTTCTTAATACCCCCGGCCCCCCGTATTTTTTAGTCCCACCTAACTTTCCTCTCGTTTTTCTATTTACACATTATGACCCCCCCGACAAAAATGATGGATTCTCATCAGCTTGAGGTAACTTATTCAGTCCATGAGTATTCAAATGTCATCTTTTTTGCTGACGCGGTCAAACACACCACAGAGAAGAGGCATCACTGCTGTTGGGAAACATTCCTGACTTGTCATTTACCAACGCAAGGATAGGACTTCCTTCTTTTTGTCAGCAAATCTCAGAAAACATGACGACGCGTTTGAATTTCCAGCTCTGGAAACATGACAAAAAATTATCTGGACACAGCCGATCGACCCCGAGTGACATTGCAAAGACGCAAAAGGGGACCTTTCGCTCCCCAAAGTCTCAAGCGAACCGAGAAGACGAAGACTGGACCCACCTTCAACTCTGTCAATGATTACTTGAATTGAGATTACACCCAAGATACAAGGCAGCAGAGACTATAAATTGCCAACTCAAACTGTAAACTGAATAAAACAGAAACACAAACTGCTCTTTGACCAATTACAGCTTTTGTAACATGCGCACACAAACTCTTACGTCTCTTCATGACATAACCTGATCAAATAGGGTCACCTGCTGCTGACTCCAAGGCCATTCAATGCCTTTTCTAGGCCTTCATCTATGAGTTAAACAGACCCTAATCCATTTCAGATTTGGAGCAGTGGAAAGTTTCCGTTTATGCAACTGTTCTTTCTAAAGTTTCTATCTATCTATCTATCTATCTATCTATCTATCTATCTATCTATCT